AACAAATTACCAAAATGAAATGTCTTCATTCTCTCCCCGAGACCTACTGGTATCTTTTTGGACTGCTTGTTTGGTCTGCAAATAGCAAAACCACCATCATTTGCACAGTAACTTTTTTTTACAGTTGCCAATGTAAAAGTCTCACATAATGACTAATTGATACCTAAATACAGCTTTCAATTACCTGATATATTGTGTCTGATTTCAAAAATCTGCTTTTCACAAGTTTATGTCCAATACAAAAGACAGTAGGGATGGAGCTGATATATTTTTAACATGGAGTTTGCTTAACCCTCATCATCGTCTTCATCAAATAAAATCTCTTAAGCAGTTCTGATCACTTAAGGTATGCCAGGGATGTACATAAATATACATACTGAATTCTGTGAATAAGCAGAATATCCAATAAAACAAAAAACAATGCCATCACATAGAATCCCATTCAGTGATTCCCTCTTTCCAAGACCGTCAATGGCGTGGACTGACACGGTGGCTCAAACAATAAAATAAAAATGGGCTCAAACACAACAACAATTGTGTGGATGGCACAGGACCGGGAAGTGTTATATTCTGTTGTACCTACAGTCATCATGAGTTGGAACTGACTGCATGGCGCTAACAATAACGGTCTCTATAGAAGCCACCTCATAGCATCCTCCTGCAGAGCAGCTGGTGTGTCTGAGCCACCAACTCAGTTAACACTTAACCACTCTGCCAACAGGGCTCTTTAAAATATTTTATAGCCTTCATAAAGTGTTTCATTCACAAGAACCAATAATTTTAAGTTGCTTTCTGCTAAGAGCATATTTTAAGGTACCATTGTAGCATAATGGTTAAGCGTTCAGCTACTAATCACAAGGTTGACATTAGTTAGTTAACATCTAATGAGGGATCATATCTTTTGTCAGTACCTTGTAGGACTTACATTTTAAAGCTAGGATAATTATTGATTAGCACCCTGATGGTTAGGCTCTGGGCTGCTAACCTCAAGGTCAGTTCTTTGAAAACACCAACCGTTCCATGATTGACAAGGCTTTCTACCTTTGGAAAGAGTTACAGTTCCTGAAGCCCACAGAGGTCACTGTGAGTTGGAATCAACTTGATGGCAGAGTTTGGAGAGTCTTCCTACTGCAGTGGATAGGTATTCAACTGCTAAACAAAAAGGATGTGACTTGAATCCACCAACTAGTTGCTCTATGAGAGAAAGATGTGAAGATTACAGCCTTGGAAACCCTATGGACAGTTCAAGCCCATCTGATACGGACAGTTCAAGTCCTTCTGATACAGTTACTCTGCTATGGCATTGGGGTATAATTCATGCCAAACACGGTGGAAAAGACACCAGAGATTATATGAACAAATGCAGAGCAGAAAAGGGAGGCCTGAAGAATGAGCTGTGATCTGTATAATCAACTGGAGAGTCTGTAAGGAAGCTCTTGATCGCTAATCTGATATTCTTTGGGTTACATAACATTGATTGGTAGTGAATAATGGTTTATAGATCAGCTGATTTCGTGAAATGTTGATTCTTAGATATAAAAATACTTTCATTGACTCAGCTCAGATTGAGTTCCTGTCCCTTTTCTCTGGGGCACCACTCAGAGAGGGCAGAGGGAATGAAGGAGGGAACTCTTTTCTCTGGCAATGCCTAATTCATAAAGTATTATTTCAAAAACTGATCAGTAAAATTAACTACTGTAAAAAAATTAATGAGATGTGTTCATTTATCTGAAAGTGTGTCTTTTCAAAACTTTTTAAAAGTGTTATTGACTACAAAAATAGAGAGATTGTATATGACCTGAAATTATGTGTAACAATGAAGTGAATCTTGAAGGGGGAGGAGAATTCCTTTGACAAGTTATTTTGGTTTGCTTCCCATGGCAGCAATGTGTGCAATGCTGTTTTCATTTTCTTAAATTAACCCTACAGGGAATTTGCTGCAGCTGTGAAAATGGTGCCAATAATTTAGCTTTTGGTTAGTGCAATACTTTCATTTTGTTATAGAACGTGAGGAAAATGGCTTGGAGTTTTTCTCTCTCCTTGGAAAGGTTTTTAAAAAAGTTCACAGTCACAGAATCAACCCATTTTGTATTTCAAGGTCAATACTACAGAGAATTTCCCTTCCAGATCTATGGTGTTTCAGTTTTAGTGAAAGAAAATAAAAGCCTCTAAGATAATATAATTATTACATTTGGCAATAATTTAATCCCTTAATGTTGTCACATGCTTTTGAACTCTTGGCTAAGAGAACTCATGTAATTTATGCATGCCCACACTCTCAAATTAGTTTGTTTAGACGAATATGCTGACAGATTTTATGAAATTAAAACCATAGTGTTATTACTTCTTATTGAAAACCTCAATTTGCCTCCATAGATGTTCCATTTAAAGTTATCTTAGACATAATATAATTAATAAAACTAGAATAGTTTGCCATGTATCTTCTAGGAAAATTAAGTCCCTAAATTTCTATATAAAATTCATTGACTTTTGTAGACAAGCTTATATAATAACAATTAAGCAACTTTATGTTCAATGGCTCTAGTTATTTCAATGATCAAAAACTGCATATGCTAAGTCCTACTTAGACCATTTTGAATATTAACAAGGAATTATATTTATGTATGTTTTCTGTACTAGAGTTATTCACTTAGCTCATTTCAATAACTTTATGCTTCACTAAGCATTAATTAATTATAATCGTGTATGGTCAGTGAATTAATGATAAGTGTAATTTAAAGTTTTGGGGTTTTTTTTTAACTTGGCTTTAAATTTTGAAATTAATGAGTCCTGACTTACATAATTTATATTTGGTAGCTAGCCTACTTGAACCTTCATATGCTAATCAAATCAAACTACAAGTACAAGACAAGCTATTACTTTTCAGCTTAATGTAAATGATCAGCAGCATGTAGCCTAATAAAATACAAGTGTTCATTTTACTGTGTTATTAATCAGCATTAGTACTATTTTTTCTTTGCCCATTTAGCAACATATGTTTACTATACTCCTATTTGGCAACTTAAATTTTTTATGTGGTGCTAAGCACTTGATACATAATAGGTGATTCTAACAGCTGGAAAGAATAAGCTAGGTGTATTTTTTAACATTACAATGTATTTATAATGTGACATGCCCCTCGTGAGGACCACATAAGACCGGGAGGCATATCATTCTTTTGGACACAGGGTCGCTAGGACTTGGAACTGACTTGGCACCGAATAAAAACACCACGCCCACTGTGTTGGGTGAAAATTGAGCATATCTTCATTTTGCAAAATCTCACTCTTTAAGTTAATTAAAACTTTAATAGAATTTCATTTTATATTTTTTAAATCATACATTAAATGCAAATTTGTTTTAGTCTTAGGGGAGGGTGGGGGCGAGAAAGGGAGAATTGATCACAAGGATCAGCCCAGACCCCCCTCCTAAAGGGATGAATAACAGAAAAGTGGGTGAGGGGCAACGAAGGACGATGTAAGATATGGAAAAAATAATCTGTAACTTATCAAGGGCCCGTGAGGGAGGACGGGTGGGGTAGGGAGGGGAAAAATGGGGAGCTGATAGCAGGGACTTAAGTGGGAAGAAAATGTGCTTGACACAGTGGATTAATGTATGGATTGTGATAAGAGATATAAGAGCCCCCAATAAAAGTTTTTTAATGAATACAAAATAAAATACCACACGCTCATGATGGTTTAATTAATAAATGGATATATATATAGTTTGTTCCAATTAAAGCAATCGGTCTAAGTTGTAGTAAGTTCATTTGGGGTAAGTTTCGGCCTTCCATTTTTGCACCTAAATTAAGCCATACTTTGTTATCAGATATGAACCAATCACAAGGATCTACATGTGACCTCCTCCCTGGGGGACAGACAACAGAAAAGTGGGTGAAGGGAGACGTCAGACAGGACAAGATATGACAAAATAATAATAAATTATAAATCATGAGGGAGGGGGGAAAATAAGCTGATATTAAGGGCTCAAGTAGATAGCAAATGTTTTGAGAATAATAATGGCAACAAATGTACAAATGTGCTTGACACAATGGATAGATGGATGGATTGTGATAAGAATTATATGAGCCCCCCATAAAATGATTTAAAAATATAGATATGGATTTTATATATTATCACTGTTCTTTGAAATAAAGAATATGCTTAAATATAAGCCACAAATATCTGTAAATTCATGAGTTCTTACTATGAGAAACATATCTTCTAAACACTGTACCTTTTTTATTGCCACATTTCTGAATATATTTCAGAGAATTCCTTAAAATGATTACTTGAGAAAATAAATTATATGAATTTACTTTTGTTTTCTGTGAATTATTACCCAGTATCCAGTATTTATATTGTGAATTGTTATATGCTATCTTCAGCTTACTAAATTCCCAAATTGTTGCTTGGGCAGCTTTTTATTAATACATCAGAAAGCTTCCTTATAAAAGGACAGATCTATTCGCCGAAATGGTTTCCTTTAGGACTGGATGTTGAAAAGAGATTTAACTGAGTCATAAGAATATTTTTGACAATGGGACTTAACTTAGATAACTGTTAAAGGATTCATCTCCTTTGCTTCTCCGTGTTTTTTTCTTTTTTTTACCCCTCTAAGTAGAGTGCTCCCTGTGGATCTATACAGTGAGAATTGCAAAGGGTCATAGAAGAGGTATTTTTAAGCACTCAAGTTTCATAGTGTGTGCTTTATGGGTAGAATAAAATGTATCCCCCAGCTGTTCAAGAACGAGGGCGGGAGGGCAGATAAAAGGAGAAGTGAAAGCCAGGCAGAATTAGGTCTCAATGACACGCTGCAAACTTCGTATACTTGTACTTCTAATCCTTTCCCTTACCTCCAACTTTCCATTCTATCACAGCAGCCCTTACATGTTCTCCTCACTTCCAAGCTATTATAGCGTTGCCACCAAGGAAGTAGGATTCCACAAATGGAGTGAATTACACACAGAAGGGGGGGAAAAATCCACACTGAGCCTTTGGTGCTGGGGAAGTGAGTTTAACCATGGTAAGACATATAACTAAATGTACAGTATCTGAGGTATGGTTGAAAAATTTAAAAGTGCAGTGAATTTTTTTAAAATGCAAAAGAAATCCACATGTTACAAATGGGCTACAAACACATTTATGATTCATTCAACTGCATTAAAACTGATTGCCTATGCCATATTGATTAAAATAATAACCAGTAAGAAAATATGTTCAATATGGAGGTACTTTTCTTAAAAAACAAAACTCAAGAGTTAATAAAATACTTTTATCTGCTTCAAAATATTCTTTGGAAACCAAAAGTAAAAATGTATCACGTACATCCTTTCAAGTTGATCTGTAAAAATCAGAAAAAATACATAGTCCATGCTATTTAATATTCTGAAAATACAGAGCTCTAAGTACCCCATAAGCATAAAACAAAAAATGCTTTACATCTCACTGAACTGACAGTGTCACCTCATAAAGGTGCAAAGAATTCCAGCCTAGTTCCAATTTGAAAACATTTGCTTCAGTCAAATTGAAACGAATAACCTGACTTCCCTACAGGTGTGGTACAGCTGGTACTCAGTCCCAGATTGTTTCTTCTGAGTTCGGAAGACGCTCATCAAGATGCCTGCAGGGAAAGATTCTCACGAGGCCAAAATGAGTATTAGCCAAAGCGAAACTTGAGCCTGTATTTCACTGTGTTCGGGCTTTTCCTGGGTGCAGAAAGGGGAACCTTTGGCTTGACAGGGTTAGGGGTTTTTTTCTTTTCAGGAACGGTAACTGTGAAGGAAAGTTCTGGCTGCTCCGACTGCTTGAATCTTGGCAAAAAATGGGTAGAAATGTGCTGGGGTTTGACCCGTGGGCTGCAGCCTCGTTTAGCTTTCCCTCTTTTATTCAGAGCCACGTACCACTCACGCCCAGTCTTTTCAGTTCTGTGTATTGCTGAAGCATAGGTATTGTAGCTGTTTTCTTGAAATCTCTCCCTGAACTTGCAGTCATCTGTAAATTTAGCCTAGGAGGGAAAAAGAGAAAATTCAAGTAGTGGTCATGTCTTCAACCTGCAATAAAATACGACTTCTTGAATGGGAAAGAAAATCCAACAGTGTCATTGAACTCGGCCCTCCCATTCCATTTCCTTTCATAAAGGCATGCTGCTTTTAAACTATTTATCCTCCCTTCAGTCCTACTGCATGCATGCTTGTAACACTTATTTCCTCTTACTATGTATCTCGTTGTTATTAATTGCTGTCGAGTCAGCTCTGACTCATTGTGATTTTATGTACAACAGAGTGCAAAGTTGCCTGATGTTCGGCCATTCTCATAACGTTTGGTATGTTAGAGCCCAAGGTTGCTGTGATTGTATCAACTCGAGTCCTTAAGGGTTTCCATCCTTTTCACGGATCTTCTTTATGAAACATTCTAGTAATTGATCTTACCTGATGACTTGTCAAGATGAGGTCTTTCTATCCTTACTTCTTTGGAGCATTTTGGCTGCACTTAGTGACCCAAAAATAATATATAAAAATTATAGTCAAAATGCTTAATATGTTTATATGCTATTATTGTTTAAAATTATTTGTAGGTTTTCTTAATGTTATTTTTTCCCTCCTAAAACCCCAGGAAATAAATAGGAATCTGTTGCTAAACAATAACCACTTAGTAAGACATGAATTTATGTTTTACTTTTCTTTATTCTTGTACTCATTGTTATTCCTTTTTTCTCTAAGCTCCCCTATCAGAACCTTAAAAAACTATTAATCTAGGCACTGTATCTATAGATTTGCCTATGGTGGATTTCATATAAAGAAAATCATACCAACAAACTCCAACAACAATAACAAAACAAAGAAAAGCTTCAATACAAAAGAAAGAAGAAAATAATAACAACTAGAACAAATTGAGAATGGCTTAAAAGGGAAAAAAAATGATAAGATGTTAAGTTTTATTCTAATTATATCTGCCTTAATTAACTTTCTGATGCACTCTCTCTGTGTTCAAAGCTTTTCATGTCCCTGGTCAATGATCTGAGGTAATTCAATGGAGGCTTAATCCTTGTGGGTCTCTGCAAATGGATTTTGGATTTTCACTGTCTCGCTTAGCCTTCTTGTAAACATATGGCCTTAATGATATTGCATGTGAAAAATTATTTAAGAAAAATGACATGTGTACATATACATGCACAGAATATCTGCCCTTGAAATGTCTACAGAACAATTGGGAAAGCAGACAAGTCTACAGCCACCATGGTGTTGCTTAATAAATGAAACTCTGACCATGATATTCAGAGGTGATAATGACAGCATCAAAGAAGGGCACCTATGAGGGTGGCAAGGGAGGGAAGTCTTCCTACGAAATGTGACACTTGAGCTGAGTCTTCAAGTATGACTAGATACTAGGTAAGCAGATGACAGGAAAACTGATTCTTCAGGAGCAGGAAAGGGTTGTTGAAAGGTCAGCATGACACTTCGGAATAACTATAACAAGTTCAATGTGATTCCACCTGGGATGTGTGGGAGAAGAAATGAGAGAAGTGCTGACCAAGTGGGCCAGGATCCACTCTGAAAGGACCCAGAGTTCATAATACTGTGGAACGTGAAGAGCTCTGATACCATTAGACAGACATGATATCAAATGCTAATTCTAAAATTGAGATCTCCTCCACAATCCCTAAATCCACAGGAAAATTGTGAAATCAAATGTTTTTCCTAGGGAAAAAATTTGTAATTCATCAAACTCAAGTCCATAACCTCTAAAGAATTAAGAATTCCTGTCCCAGACCAAACAACTAAGTTTCATCGTTCTAGGGAACATAAATTTCATATAATTGAGGATATAAAAATACCAAAAAGCTTATTCCAAATAAACCAAAATAAAGCTATACGTTCTGAGTTTTGCCCTATTAATATGATCCTCCCAGCTGCAATGCCTTATATGATATAAGTCTAGAATTCACATGCCTGTGACTGCGTAGGCTAGGATTAAAATCTGACCTTACTGGAGAGTATGAATCAGGCCACACTTACTGCTTATTATCTTGGTTACTGTTAATTATCATGAATGTAAGGAATGATATGCTCTAGCTAAGAGGAGAAAAGCTGCTTCTGAAGTGACCTGAGGGAAAAGCCTGGCTGATTAAGATTAGTAGAAGGCCAATGTCTACTGGCAACATCCTGACAGAGGACCTAGGTCATATGTGCATGAATAAGATTCAGTCCAGGTGTGGAGTATGGATGATATAGTTGGGTGATGAGTTATATGTTAATTTGATTGGACTATTGATATTCAATGTAACCATAATCAGACAACCATTCCCCGCATGGGTCTGGTAAGAAAGTGGGGGAAGACAGTGATAGAATTTACTTCGAGTAATTGTGCATAGGATTCTCGGCAGTGCCACCCTGTTGTGTATAAAATGAGCCCTCTGAGAAGCAGGGGCTATGATCTCATCCCTGGCAAGAGCTAGGAGTGCAGTGTGTCCTCTGGACCCAGCATCTTCTTTATCCCTGCCTAACCTTTGGATTTTGGACAGTACTGTACCCACTACCAAGTGAGACATTTCCTTAAATTTTCCTGAGTTTCTATGGGACACTGCAGAAATTCCTAGAATCCAGAAAGGAGAGGGAATACACTCACAGGAGTAATTGGGGATGGGGAGGCAAGTGGAACAAACTAGCATCTTGAAAGAATTGGACATTTGGGACTTCTTCAATCTAATTCCTTGTCATTGATTTGGTATCAATTCTTACAAAAGAAATTATTACCACACTTTCTATATCAGACAAAGAAGTTCTGTACTGTAGTAAAATATCCTTTGTTTCCATCTTATAATGTTGCTAGCTTTTCTCTGCCATATAGATCATGAATCTGCATTCTGAAAGTCTGCAGCACAACTACACAGAAAATGTTGGTAGTTCCAGCAAAGTACTGAATACAGCTAGTATCTGAACATTCCCAACAGGTCTTCTTTGTGTACAATAACTCATCCATTACACTACATTCGAGTGTAATTTAATCAATACAGTTATTTGTTTGAGGGTTAGGAATCTATTAATTGTATTGGACAAATCTGCACAAGACCGTTTAAAAGTGTTGAAGAGTAAGGATGTCACTTTGAAGACTAAGGTGTGCCTGATTCAAACCAGGATCTTTTCAATAATCTTATGTCCTCAAAAGTTTGACAATGAATAAGGAAGATCACAGAAGAATCAATACATCAGAATCATGATATTGGCAAAGAATATTGTAAGTACTGTGAATTGCCAGGAGAATAAACAAATCTGTCTTAGAAGAATTCTCCTTAGAATCAAGGAGGCAACACTTTGCCTCACAAACTTTAGATATGCTCTCAGGAGAGACCATCCCTGGAAAACGATGTCATGTTTGGTAAAGTAGAGAATTAGCAAAAAAGAGGGAGCATTTCAACAAGATGGGTTGACACAGTGACTGGAACAATGGGTTAAAACATCATAACAATTTTGGAATGGTGCAGTGTTTTGTTCTATTGCACATGGGGTCACTATGAGTTGGCATAGGCTCCATGAAGCTAACAACCACAGCATATGTCTCCTGGCGATTCTCTGGATTTAAGCTCTAGTCAATTGGAAGCAGTCTGCTATAAAGGAAGCAATTTTAAAAGAAGTATATCCTCTACAGAACTCCTTCAATCCAGTTTTATAACCTGCTAGCCTATTGTCTAAGCCAAGGGTGCTATGTTCATATCACTTACAGAATCACATATTGATTGTTCCTATAGATCTTTTAAAATATACTTTTATAAGTAAAAGTTTTTTCTACAAATGGTTAGTACATAAATAATTGCTCTCCGATATAATTTGCTGTGCCACAGTTCTGTTGCATAATAATAATAATAGTAAACCAAACTCACTGCCATCGAGTCAATTCTGGCTCATAGCAACCCTATAGGGCAGAATAGAACTACTGGACTCTTTACTGGGGTAGAAAGCCTCATCTTTCTCTCCCAGAGCAGCTGGTGGTTGTGAACTGCTGACCTTGTGGTTAGCAACCCACTAGGGCACTCAAATATTAAGAAGGTCTTCTAAAAGGTGGTGGTAGTTATATAATCTTTTGTCAATTTGAGGATTAAGAGTGTAGAGGTGGAGTCTAGCCTGTCAATCAGATCATAGCCAATAAAGCCTCTATGTGGGCAGGACCTTCTCCTGAGAATTCTGAGAAATCCAGGATTTTCCTCCTTGGAGGTGGGAGACTCTGCTCACACCCTGGGAGACTTAGCAGCTGACAAGATACATGGACCCACCTTGATGCAGAGACCCCTGCCAGCACTGAGATGTTTCCAATGCAGAGACCCCTGCCAACGCTGAGATGTTTCCAATGACACTGGATCCAAAGACTTTCTACCCACTGGCCTGTGATCTTCTACATTCAGCATCATTGCATGTGTTTCATGAGTCTGAAGAGGACTTTATAGGTTGGTATTGGACATATGTGCTAATAACGGACTTATGGACCTATTCTGGACTGGGCTGGGATGTTTTCTCAGTGTTCAATTGCTCTGGTATATAAATCTCTTTCTTATACACATACGTGTGTCAATGGATTTGTTTCTCTAGTCTACCCAGACTAACACAAGGTTATGGAAAAAATGGAAATAATAATGGAATTTTCTTAGAAGCATCCCACAAACATATTATATATATTATAATATAATATATATTATATTATAATATATATATTATTTTCACTGAAATAAAAATAAATGTTGGTGACCCCAAGGTATAATATACAATATATTATTTGAAATGTTCAAATTCCTTAAAAATTAAGGGAAAAAATCCGGTCAGGGTAAATATTCCACTATTCTATTTAATGAAGCTATCTACACCTTTCTAAACCATTCCAAGTTGCAACTTGAAGACCTTCTTAAGGGTAAATGTGACATAACCCTTGACAGAAACTCAGTGACCCCCAAGCACTTCTCCTCCCAACTTAGGTAACTACTAGTAGACTTTAGTCTCAATACATTTACGTATTCTA